CGCTTGAGCATTTTGCTCCAATCTTCCCCGAAATACCCGAGCCAACAGATTTGTTGCGTATGTTGGATGTGCTCCAATTATGCGCTCCTGCTGAGCCCGATTCCGAAGAAACGTTCGAGTTTCCCGCCTTTATTCTCGTCAATGAACCTCATGATGTGTGGGTTAGGAACAAGTCGACATACGTTTATGGAGGTAGGTATAGATTTGAGTTGCATGGGGATCCGCTTAAGTTCGAGAAGTCGTCGACATTTTGAGTCTCCTTATTTTTGATCCACTGGAACAGTCAAAATAGAATTTTTCTTGAATAAAATGTCTTTTGTAATCTTTGCGAGTTTTACTTTCTTAGGTGTACGAGTACATCCCATGAGGGGAATGGAACGATCGCTGCAAAGCACATTCCCAAGGATCCAAGTAGCGTTGCGCAGGAGTATGCACGACTTCCAGGTAAGAATTATTGACTGCCTTTAGATTTGCGGCAAATCAAGTAATTCATTTAAGGACCCAATGGATGCCGATCTCATGCAATGGGCCGGTTGCAGCAAGATGTCGTCGGGTCAGATGGAGGCTCTTGTACGAATACGTGGAGATGCGGTTGAGGTACGGTAGTAATACAATTTATGGCTTAATGAAGTCTACCACCTCTTCATTCCAGGTGCAAGTACGAGGCCCAGCAGAGCGAGCCACATCATGCTTCTACTTCCTTGAAGACGTTGTCAACCTTGTAGAGCAAACAGCCAGCGAAGTTGCCCCCGGTATAGGACTTGAGAGACATTTCCTCAGCCCTAAATGTCTACAGGTAAGCATACCAAACTCTTTCATTGTTACAGTATCAACCTCTACGAAAAATTTCTTTAGGAGCACCAAAAAAATCCAGCCTCATTCCCACCAGAAGCAATGATGGCTATGCAACAACAAGAATCACTTTCAGTGAAGGGAACCCATGATGAAGAGGAGCTTTTCACTGGTCAGTATCAGATTTGTTATCATCGCTGTTCCTATCGTTTATATAATCTTGAAAGGAACAGATTTAAATTAGTCAGCGACAACAATTTGAATAATAACCTATCTAATTGAATATGCTGCGCATCATTTGCTTTGG